CTGAAAAGAAGTACTGTAGTATGGGACAGAAGTTTGTGCCCTTTAAATACAGAACCCAGAAGCATGCAGCTGGAATGAACTTCTAGTCAAATCCCATGCAGCAGCACCCACATTTAAATCATCTCAGCCAAGTGTTTGTCTAACCGGCTTGTCTAATAAGTGACCAGTTTGAATTCCTTCAGCACTGAGGGGAAAAGAGTGGTTGCGAATCTTTTCATTGGTTGCAATTACAGCTGCATCAGACCTTTATTTTCCAAAATATATGAGGTTAGGTTTGTAGGAGATGTTCAACATCTGACCCTGTTTATGGTGTCTTTTTCTCTGTCATCAGTTCTTGAGGAAAAAGAATTGAGTTCTTGTCTTTGGGAAGCTCAAAACCATTGTATTCCTAGAAGTAGCTAAAAAAGATTGAATGGAGGGAATTTATGATAAAATCTTTAATTTTTCAGACCCTTCACATTTTAAAAAATGGGACAGAATACATTTCTATCTTAGAACAAGGAAATCTTATTTAGTTCTGCTTTCTTTCCAGGAGAACCAAATTCTCTATCTGTCAAAGGTGCAGAAGCACAGGCAACATTAGCCAAATAAAAGGGTATTATTTACATAGCTTCTTTAGGTCTGTTGAATATGATGAGGGTCAGATGTTATTCCATCTACTGGGCTCTTAAGCATGATCCTATTCCACTCTATTAGAGTTCCTGAAAAACTGTTAATGCATCTACTTCTGTAATACTAAGTCACAAAAAAGTGAGGAAGAGGAGAAGGACTCACCTACCTTTAGCGCCAACATTTTTTCAGGGATTGGAGCAGTATGGAATAAGATTGCCCACAGGTGCTAGTAGGCTGATTAGGATCTGGCCTTAAATATTTCTTCATACCCTATATACAATGGGCATCCCATGACAACCCAATAAATTAAAAAAAAACCCAATTCTGATGCAGCTTCTAAAGCACCTACACCTATAACTAATTCTGTTGGGCTCCTGTCCTCTAACATCTAAATTCAGTTTGCTTCTCTGAATCCTAGCACTGAATGTGCTTTCTCAGGCACTACATAATGAGACTGCTTTCTGTTAAGGCAACCTTGCCAACTGTCTTATTACCCAGATCAGTCATATTGGCCTCTGTACTTTTGATGCACAACCAGCATTACAAATCTGTGTTAATTGGCAGAAGCAATAGTGTAAGTGGCTATAAAAGAGTTGGCAGTAGTGCCTATTATGTAACTGGAGAACAGTTGGCTTCCCATCTATTTCTTGCTGAATCTGAACATTTTGTTTTTTATTTTGTATCAAGTGTACTTTAGCCCAAAGGACTGATGCTGAATAATGAGGACATTGGTACAGTTAAATAGTTTAAAACTTTAGAGTGAAGAACCTCCTTGTTTCCTACATTTGGTGCTAAATTAGTTCAATATCCTTTCTCCCACTTCTAGACACAAAATAACATGTATTGAACGTCTTTTGTGTTGCCAGGCAGAAACTGTAAATTGCAGCTATCACTTGCAGCTATAATGAGAAAGTTCTCTACCAAGATCAAGCTCTTGCAATGGGTAAGACTAGCCTCTGTTGGCAGAGGGCCTGTCACTGATCACAGTTCAAGTGGATGAGAAAAAAATGGGGATGAGTTTCCTACAGAAATGTTTTATTTTTTCTCCCCAGGAAAATAAGAAATTCAGATCTTCCCTCTCTCCCTGGCTTTGAGGAAAAAAAATTGACACAGAAATTTTACTATTTATCATAGAATTTATAACTTGGGTACTTCACACCCAGTTTCCTGAATCAGGTTTCCTGATCAGACTATCACATGGTGCACTGTAATCTCACCTCCTGCGGGGTGACATCCTGGAAGTCCAATGTCTGCAGTATACCATGGAAGGTGTAGCCCAGTTGGGAGCTTAGCACAGAGGAGGATGGGGGCCTGATGTGTACACAAACTACAGCTGCCATGACACACTGCACTGACATTTTATGAATAGAAAGTTTCAGAATTCAGTTGAAAAATTAAACCTGCTTGGGTTTTGGATGCCTGGCTTTTCAAGGATAAGTCAAATGATTTTGGAGAAAGCAGTTGCTTTTTGCAAACTTCCATTTTGAAAAAAGCCCATCTTTCTACAAAACAGATGGAAGACTTTCAAGCAGCCATAACTACAGCATAAAGCCCCATTGTGCTATGCATGCTACAAACTCTTAGCTAGAGAGGGTTCTTCTATACAAACTAAATAGCCCAGGCAGAGTGGGAGAGAAGTAGTATTGGCATTCCTGTTTTATGGGGAAATAAATCCCACTAAATTCGATAGTGGCAAACAAACCTGGGACTTGAATCCAAGGGTCCAGAAACTTAGTCTGATGTAAAATCATCCCACTTCTATGTCTATAATGTTCTGACCAGCCTCCTGTCCAAGTCATGTTTGTGCACAATGTAGCTACTGCAAAGACAATAGTAATTTATTTTATTTAACATGTAATGTATGTACCATCTGTAAACCTAGAGCACAAGAAGAGTAAATCAGTATACCTTGTAACTAAGTAACTAGTAACCTAGTAACTATATGCAAACAGAAATACTACCACGCGAGTGATATCTCCGGAAGGACCAACATGCCAACTTTTAACTTCAGTACCATGCTGTTGCAATTCATGTGCCAAACAAAGCCAGAAGAGAGACATGACTCTTTTCCTGCAAATGTTATACATTAGCCTCAAGTATCTATCACAGCTTAAAGCCTTCTTAAAGGTTTTAGTTTTCCAGGTTTCTCTTCTTGCTCCAAATCCCCTCCTCTCAAATGCACTGATATAAAAAAGAAAGATGAGGATTTTTCTACTAATTTTTGTAGGTCTCCTTAATGATCCCTATTGCCCAGGCCTAACACAAGGACATCCTGGCTTTGCAGGTAACAGGTAAGAAAAAACCTGTCAAGTAAAAGGGAATCCCCAGCTCCTCCCTTCAAACCCTTAACACTAATCTGTCATTTTAAAAACTGAAGCTTGAGAGTCTCACACAGAACAACTAAAATAAGGCCCTCAGCCCCTTGAAAGTAGCTCAGTTGAAAAAGGTCCATTATTGAAGGTTAAATTCAAGCCCTCAATGGGTAAGGATGTTGTCGTCATCCTTTCCATGTGCTGAATGTCTCTCGTTAGGAGGAAAAGCTTGCATATAGCCTATTTTTAAGGAAACTGTCTGCATTGTCTCTATGGATAAAAAGCTTACATATATAGGCAGGCCTCTCCCTCATTAACTTTGCCTTTTTAGCTGTCAGGAATCTAGTGAAGAATCTGATTGTAACCACTGGGGAGCATCACCTCAAAAAGGTGGATGAACAGGGACAGAATGTCCCTGTCTTGCAAGTCATTGTTCACCCAGAGTTCAATAGATTTGGACGCATGGATCTGGATATTACTCTCCTTCAACTAAAAGACCTGGCAAAGTATGGTAAGGTGGGAGGCTGGGTGATAAGGGTGGCAGCTATTATAGAAAAGTGCTTTGCAGTGGGTCCTTGCTGCCTCTCACTTCCTAGCTTAGGGTGACTTTCTTTTTTTTTAATCCTCCTGTGTTCCCAGCACATAGGATGCCTATTTGGCCAAGATTAAAGACACAGCCCTAGGCTGGATGCACTAAATCCACCCTACTATTGAAGTGACTTGGGTCAATTGACAACGGCAAGCATTTGTCTGTTGTAGGAATTCGATAGTCTATTTAGATCTTTGAATGTTCCTTCATTTCTAGTCAACTTGCTACTGTTAGCCAACTGCTACAACACTGCCGCACCCTGGAGTCTGTGACAGTGTTATTTCACCATAGGAAGAACTGTGATGTCATAAACAGTTGTTCTGCCAATCCATGGATGTAGCAAAGTGAGAAGCTAGTTGAGATTGTAATACATGTCACCCAGTATTCTAATATTATAAAAGCCTAAGTCTGTCTGTCTGTCTGTCTGTCTGCCTGTAACACTTTATTTGCTCTCTTATTGGCTGACAGAAATAGCCAATCAAAGAGCTCCAAGCATGGGGGGAGTGCTGCCATGATTCTGAAGCTGGGGCGAGGAATGGACAGAGGGTGGGGGAGCCAAGGCCAGAAGTGCTAGCCTTGGCTCCCCCACCCCGCTCCCTGCAACAGGCAGAACAGCAGCAGCATGGGGGATTAGGTGGGGCACTCCAACCCAGCCCGCTCCCCCTCCCCCCCGTCATTCTTGACGGGCAATTGGCTAGTCTATTATATGGACAAAGGTAAACATGAAGGGAACTTTGTCATTTTAATGACTTGCCAGGCTTTCTGAAAAGCGTCTAATAGAATCAGGGGGCTGGAGTATCAAGAACCTTCTACTGCTAGATCAAATTCTACCCAAGGTGGTAGTGACTGGGAATAGTTTCCATCAGTTGGACTCTGATTAGAAGCCCACAAAAATAGAGTTTTGATCTTTGTCTGTTTACCATCTCAGAAATCACTGATGCAAATGGCATTACATTTGTATTTTTTGTTTGTTTGTTCATTGGCGAGGACTGAATGGGGACGGGGAACTACTGAGAAGTTAGTTAGACTAGTTAGTTAGTTAGACCAAGTTACCTAGACAATTGTCTAGGATTGTCTTCTATGTTAATGAGCATTCTACAAAACATGGCAATGCCACTGGCTAACTTTTGTTTAAGATAGTCAAGTAGTTTTTAATCCATTTCTCTGGTAATGTTCAAATTTCCTAGACCAAGCCTAGACCAAGCCTTCCTTAGACTAGACATTAGGAAGAACTTCTTCACAGTTAGAGTGGCCAAGGTCTGGAACGGGCTCCCAAGGGAGATGGTGCTCTCCCCTACCCTGGGGGTCTTCAAGAGGAGGTTGGATATGCATCTAGCTGGAGTCATCTAGACCCAGCTCTCTTTCCTGCCTATGCAGGGGGTCGGACTCGATCTATTGAGGTCCCTTCCGACCCTAACATCTATGAATCTATGAAAGCCATTTGAGTTTTGTATGTCCTGTTACTTTCTCTTCCTATGAAGCAGGGCCCATGTTCTTAGTGATAATACTTCTAGTGTTGTACAGGATCCACAACTGGGCACTGTCACAGGACCATATCAGAATTGTATGGAGGCCATTCCCTTTCCCAGCCTCTGTATTGTTCTCCAGTTTTTCCTTATCAATTTCCTTTTGTCCTGCTGCTGTTTAGCTTTCACTTGAGAATCTTGAGTTCACGTATCTCTTATTCATGTGCATTTTCATTCTCAGGGGATGAGGTTCAACTAATCTGCCTTCCTCACAAATTGGAGGAGGTTGGGATATTTTGTGTTGCTAGTGGCTGGGGCACGGCATGTGAGGGTGAGTAAAATGACAGCTTTTTGTGGTAACAACCGTGATGATACATGGACAATGGAGGAAAAACAGGCAAGCTACCATTGCAGAAGTAAAGGGCAACATTTGCCAAGTGAGAAACCCTCCTGTTTTAATCTTTCTTGTATAATGGCCAATCCCCAAGGCTTTTCCAGAAGCAGGGCATGAATGAGCAGCCTGCCATCAGTGCTGTTTTGTAGATCTCCTTCTCTGAGGTCAGGTCATTCAGCAGCGCGTGTCAAAGCCTCGAATAAACACTGGATTATGCTGCTTATTTTTGTGAACCCAGGCTCTCAGATGAGGGAACTAAGACTCTGTGGTGACTTGCTCAGAGACACAGCAAAAAAGGTCAGGAATAAAAACCGGATCCTCTGATCTCCATATTCCGTCAACTAGTTATAAACCATGGATGTTCCTTATCTGCTAAATCAGAGCTTTCCAAATCGTGTGCTGCGACACATTAGTGTGTCAGTGGCAGTGTGTAGGTGTGTCACGCAAAATGCAGAAAATTTTGCGGAAGGGCACTGCGGAGCTCCCTTACTCGCGTCTGCTTCCCTTGGCCCCTCCCCCGGAACTGAATTACTGTGTCGTGAAATGATGCATGTCTAAAAAGTGTGTCACCAACATGAAAAGTTTGGAAAGCTCTGTGCTAAATGATAGTCCTCTGCCTCTTCCTAGGTATGTTTCAAATACATAATAGGATCACATGGCTCATCTTCTTTGAATTGCATAATGAAGAAAAACAGTTCTTCTGTGCTGCCTGGGCTCCCAGGACAAATGTTATTGACAAAGAGAACAGAGGCTCCCTGCTTTCATTTTGCTGTTGAGCCCTCTTGTGGCCTCTAGAAACCATTATAAGGAAAGTCTTTTTTTAGGCCCCATGGCCATTGGTACACGCCACAAAATTGGCCTTTAAAGTGACTTAATGCCCTTTTGCACTGCTTTAATGGTGCAGCTGTTTGCATGTGTTGGCAGCATAATGTGCATTAAACAACTTTGGGACGCAGAAAAATAAAACATCTCCAACATGGTTTAGTTTGCCGCGGAGGGAAGCACCAGGCCCTGTGCAGCGCAGGGGCTGTGTAGACAGCCCGGCAGCAGCCTGTGCTGGCAGGCTCTGCTGAAGGGGAAAAAAATGGCAAGCCTGATATTTTTTCTTTATTTTTCTCCCGGGAGCCTGCCTGCTTGAGCTGTGCGGGGGTCTGGTGCTTCCCTCCATAGCTGCGGTGCACTCTGGGACTGCTCGGGCTGGGTGCTTGCGGGCAGGTGCCACCTGGGGGGTGCCACCTGGACCACGGAGGGAAGCATCGGCCCCCTCCCCCCCCAGCTTAGGGACTGCTCAGCCCACTGGCAGCTCACCCTCCTCTCCCTGCCACCAAAGAGGCAGGTAAGGATTGGGTCCGACCGTTGTGTATATGCCATGGGGGTTTTACTTTGCCCTAAATTGAAGCATTGTTTTTAAAGACCCACCACTTCAATTTAGGGAGAATTAAACCGAAGTAAACCCCCGTGGTGTGTACAAACGCCCCTTAATGCTTGGCTGAGGGGAATGTGCCATTTCCTCTGTGGAAATGGCATACATGCAGGTGGGTTAGTTCTAGGAACCGTGAGGCTCAAACACGCTCAATGACAAGAGAGGTTTAGCTGCTAACAATTTTTTAAATGGCTCTACAGAGCATGGCCATGCATTTTTTCCTCCCATAGTTTTGGCTTGACCAAATTTGGCCATATAGACGTAAAAAAAAGCACAACCTTAGTTTAGGGTTACCCCCTGCCATATTTCAAGCCCTGGCTGTGAAGCAGAGGTGTGTTCAATTTGCTTTAAGAAAGGGTTGCTAGAATTTTTTTAGGAGGGGCCAGACAATGTATTTTTTCCTAGCCTGATTCTCAGAAATGGCTGAAACTTTTTTCAAAACACCTTGTTCTCAGGCAGACACCTGGCAGGGAAAACTTTAGGTCTGAGAAAGATATGTGCACCTGACAACAAGATTTTATGGGAAGCCTGGGCAACTCAAATAATAAGCAAAGATCTAGCCTTCCATATAGCATTTGGAATGAAATTCATGTTGTTTACAAGAGAGGAGGGCATAGCTATGAAGTGGCACAGGGCAGGAAGTCATGCTGCCATGCCAGAGTGGCTTTAGATCATCTGATGTTGCCTGTTTGTTTCTTTTTGCAGCTGGAGAAAAGTCCAACGTTCTGCAGGAGGTGGAACTTCCCATCATTGACAGCAGACCCTGCCTGGTTCAAGTCAAGTCAGTCCCAAGGCCATTGTGACCATTGTGGCACCTTAGACACTGTGCATCATTGGTGATTCTTTGTGCAAAATGACCTGGCAGTGCCCATCTGCTCTGCAGGAATGGATGGCCATTGGCTCACAGGAAGCTTATCCACCCTTTGGTAGGTCTTGTTTTCAGTCCTGCTGGGTGTCCACACACCCTCTTCACCTAGGCTAGCCCAGATGGGGGCGCCAGTTTAGTCACCGACAATCTAATCATGGAACAGGCTGTACTGGTCTACATGGTACCAGGTAGCAGACCAAGAGAGATCTGGCCTGCCTGGGAGTGCCTGGTTAGAGGAGATGAATCTGCCTCCAGCAGAAGACTCCATGTTCTGTGCTGGCTTTCCTGATGGCGGGAAGGATGCTTGCAAGGTAAAAGGTAGCCATTGCTTAGTGTCTTCCTGGATAAGTTCTACAAATGATAGCAGTCTTTGGCTTTTCTCACCAGTTCTTCAGCTCTTTTTAAACAGGGGAAGAGGAAGGAGAATAATTGAATTTATTTCAAACTTCTTTGAGTGGTGCTATTGAACCAAGGCTTTAAAGGAGCTTCAGGCTAATGAAGGATAGTTAAACATTGGAACAGGCTGCCCAGAGAGGTTGTGAAATCTCCATCTTCAGAAGTTTTTAAGTTGGGGATTGGACCAGATGACCTCTTAAGGTCCCTTCCAGCCCTACTATTCTAATTCCTTGCCATATTTTGAAGAAATTGCTCCCTGGTGAGAGCACTGGTGTAGACAGGGAACTGGCATGTTTAGCTAGCCTCTTCTCAAGGCCTCCCTAAGCAAGATCCAATGGTACGTCTTAGCCCTGTCACCAGCATGTTGTTGTTTCCACCATTGAAACTGGGGAGATGGACTGTAACGGTGGTGGGTTTCTCAAGAGAGGTAAGTTCAGATGCAGTCTCAGGAAAGCTAGCTAGAAGGGAATCTCCATCCATCTTCTTAGTTTAAAAAAACTTAACAGCTTCTTCCTGCTGTATTGACGTATTTTTCTGTGCCACCCGAGCCCCTGTGAAAGCCTGAAGGCATAGATGTGGTAGTAGCTGTGTTTCATCTAAACACCAGCTCTTCCCTCAGTGAGGGGTTGCTTCTATTGCTGAGAAATAAAATGTTTCCCTTGTCCAGCTCTGCACATACTATCCTGTGCAGCTGTTGGTTCACAGAAGTACTACTGTAATGCTAACATGAATCTTGTGAGGTGGCAATCATTAAGAAAAACGTAGTGAAACACAACCTACCAAGCAGTCTATCAATGAGCCACTGTTTGTACTCAGCGATGAAACAACAAAGTGACAAGCTGTGTTTATAGCATTCAAACTTCTCTCTCTCTTTTTTCATCCTCCCCCAAACCTATGCTTGACAAGAGTGATTCTGGAAGTCCCCTTGTGTGTACAATGACTAGTGGCATCTGGGCTGTGCCTGGTATTACCTCATGGGGAGCTGACTGTGCAAGAAGCTGGGATACATTGAATAAAAGCACCAGTGGCAGAGGTTCTCCAGGCATTTTCTCCAATGTGGCTGCACTGATTGACTTCATCACCACCCAGAACATTAACCCTGGTAGGTGTAAGAACTGGCAACTTTTCTTTTACTGCTCACTCATTGTCAGGAGGCTTTGAAAGTTTTTTGCTATTTCTCTGCAGCCAGGTATGCTTAACAACTAAAGCTGATAAGCTTGGGAAAACCAAGTTTTAAAACAGAGCTGCCCCCTCCTCTGGAGGACTATCTGGGCCTCTCTGCATCAGTGCTTTCCCAATGGAGGCTTTGATCCACTTATCTATCTGAACAGGCTGCTGAGACTTTATCAAACTGCGGTGTTCCTGGGTGAATGCAATTCCAATAACTTTGAGAATAATTTCTAAGGCAGAGTATAACTGTTCATTCCTAATAACATTTCTTGTCCTTGTTAGCTAGGGACCTGCATTGCTGTTGTAGTGTCCCTAAAATGGCACATGCTATTTGTTTTCTTGAACCGATCTTCTAGGCAAATATGATTTTAAAAACACGTAAGGAGCAGGTCGATTGAAGATTAGTGCAGTTTTAGTCACTTTTCAGAACTGTACTTTTAAAGCTATAGGTGAATCCATAAACTCCCTGCAGCCCCGTACCGCATTTAGCCATGTGCTTATAATTGCAGAACAAATATACTATTGATTAGATAGCAGTTTTGTCACAGGAGTCAGCACACTAGTTCAGAAACTGTATCTGTTTGCCAGGGTACATTGTCAGGGCTAATATTTCTTCTTTTAAAGGGAAGAACAAGTCGTGCAGTATCTCTGACTCTGGGATAATGAACATGTTGGGTAGAACGCACGCAGCCAGACATGGAACAGAAGGCCACTAGAACCTTTTCAGCGCAGAACTGGCAAGTTTCACAACACCTCCAACGACACCTCCAGATGGAGAATGAGCAGAGGTTAAATCCTAACCTGAAGTGATACTTTTTACCATAAACATTTCAACATAAAAACACAGCAAGCCCAGATCCTCAGCTGAAGGAAACTGGTATAGCCCCCTGGCTTCCTTGTACCTTGGACCAGACCTTGGAGTCTGTAACTGGGATTCTAAGAAGAAAGTATATAGTTAAGGACCATGCGCAAGTCTCTCTCAAGGATTCAGTGTATGCAATGGTGTTACTCTAATGGCTACAGTAATTGCAAACGTTATAGAAAATGTTGTCAAAACATTATATGAACTCAACCCCCCCCGCTGTCTCCACCTCTCTCTTTCTAGCTCCTGTGTCAGATCACCTTTCCACGCCTGGGCCTGAAGGATATAGCCTGCAAGGGATTCTGATCTATAGAGAAAGTGGTCATATTTGGTATCCTCCACCCAGTGAGGGTAACTATTTTGATAACAGATATTCACAATAGGTAACCGAGCACTTGGGGCACTGATAGACATGGTGGGGAAAATCGTGCTTTACCAGAAGAAGCGGCATCTTAGTTTGACCCAGCTCCACAGGTGCTTCAAGGGGCTTTTTGGTGCTTTTATCTAATAGCTGATTCAATCAGCTATTAGATAAAAGTACCATAAAAGCCTCACTGAAGGGCCCAATCTATACAGACCTTGAGCAAGCTGGGTCCAAGTAATGCGATGCCTCTTCTGCGCATACACTGCTTGGTGTGGGGGTGCATGGAGTTTAAAGTAAAGAGATGTGTCAGGGGGGAAGGGGGGAGTTACATCTATAAGCAGCCTTGGTTTTTCCACGAGAACAATATCTCATAGACTTTTTCTTTTAAAGCCAGAAGGAACCACTGTGACCTGAACTCCTGAACAATACTGGCTATAGACTTTCACTCTTAAATCAAGCACATCCTGCAGTGATAGGAATGCTTGTTCCCTAGTGTGTAAGTGGATACAATCAAGTGTCCACTTGATCATCAGGGACTGGACCCGATGATCTTCCGAGGTCCCTTCCATTCTTACAATCTATGAATCTTACAATCTATGAAAAAGTCAGGACTCTGTGGGTAGGTGTCCATCTTAAAAAGAACTGAGCATCTAGAAATAGACATCTCTGCAGTGATGTTTGATTGCCTGGGACTCTTGGTAGACAACTACAGTAAGGCACAAAACATGTTAGGAAAAAACTGCTTTTGTTAGTCTCTAGATCAGCAGTTCTCAAGTGTTTTTTCAGTTGTTACCCTTACACTTAGCTTTCAGTAAAATAATTCTGGGCACAGGGACAGCTGTAGGTGTGCATATGGGATTAAATAAAATTAACAGGGGGCAGGGACAGGCTTGTATACCCATTGCTCTACAGTAATTGTGCCAGGAGTCAGGGCAGCATGCAGGCTAGGTTGTCCCCAACTGCCACTGGTTAACTGAGGTGGGCCTGCCTGTCAGCAGCCCCAGTTGCTTGTATAGGTGTGGTTGCCTACTTGTAAGCAACAGCTCTTTCAGTGTCCTGGAAGTTACTTAAGAAAAACTAGAACTCTTGGTTCCAAAATGATACCTTTTATTAGACCAACTGGAAAATGGCAAGAAAATTGTCCTTTTCTGCAAGCTTTTGGGATCAAAGTCCCTTCGTCAGGCTCTGGGAAAAGTGTAGATGGTACAAGATGGTAAAAAGTCCCCAAAGGTAGGAAATAAACTTCATTTTTGCACAGAGGGAGCTGAAGATGGAAGGCTGTCCCTCTAGGTCCATGAGAGTGTCTTTGTGAGCTGTGTTGAGCAGCTATTTGATGTGTAGATCAGGTAGAATTCCTTCCCTGGAGGTGTCAGATAGCAAGCAGGGAGGCAAAAAAACTTCCTTGTTGTTCTGCAGTGAATTTTAAAATCCAAAATTGGCTGAAATTCGGCATCTCCCATGTTTCAGAGGTGTACTTGGTAGCCGTGTTGGTCTCAGACCAACATGGCTACCAAGTACACCCCTGGAAGTTACTTTGCACTTGGACAGATGTCTTTCTGTCTAGCTTTGGGCTTCTGGATTCTGTCTGCAGACTCCTTGTTCCAGACTCTAGGCCTTGACCCCTATGCTCCAGGTTCCAGGCCAGAGCCTGGTCCTCTGACAGCTGGCTCCTGGTGTGCGGCTTTACTTCAGCAATCACCCACATCCCTGTCACATACAGGTACAGCTGTCTGCTTTGGACTTCCTGTTCCTGCTCTCTCCCCTCCCCCCGACACACACACACACACACACACACACACACACACAGCTAGTAGTTCTCTCTGGGGTGACTGCCTGTGTGCTGGTCACGAGTTGGCAAACTTTTTGCCCCTGCTTATATGACACAGCCTCCACTGTGGGCCATAGCCCGACACAGCCTCCACTGTGGGCCATAGCCCCACACAGTCTGGTGATCAACAGATGCTGTGATGGGAACAGGTAAAAAAAGTCAGGTGCTAGGACCCTGGGAATGCCACCTCTGCTGCTGTGGCTGGAGCATGCTGCTGATTCCCTGGGTTATGTGCTGGATCCAGCCCATGAGCCACAGGTTGCTAACCCCTGCCTTGCATCGAAGTTGTAACCTGTAATAAACTCTCTCAGCAACCTGTGTGCTAAGAGCTAAACTAGGGCAGCTTAGTTTACAGTCTTGATTCAGTTGGTAGCTTTCACTTACTGTAGGATAGGAGCAGATGTGCCAGTAATTATTGTGTCAAGCCCTCCTCTTCATGTTAATTGCAGGCACATGCTACTTCATTTCCTTCCAAGTGGTCACCTACCCACACAGCATGGACTTCTTCAGTGAGTTAATGTTAGTAACTGGGGAAAATTAGTCTGTTTCACTGAGGGCTAAACTGCCCTGGTTTAGATTTCACTAGGGGATACATGAGACCACAGGACATTACTTCCCAACTGCTGAAGTACAGTAAGTCTTGTCTCCTCTTAACAACAGACAAATGAGAATTAGTTCTTGGGGTTCTTGTTTCCATTTGTAGCTGCCCTGATGGCATCTGGGGTTACAACACCTAGTTTGAAAATGGCTAGCCTAGATCTTCATAAATGTATACAGCAGAACTCAGTTTATTCACATCTCACTGGTTCATAACCTGCTCAATTTTCAGTGGGTCTGTGAGAAAGGCATGAGCTACTCAACTGTTTGCTGCAGCTTTTACATCAAAAGATGCTATTTCTCCCTTTGCTGCAGCTCTTATGTCAAAGGATGAAGTGTCGCAGCTGCTCCATGCAGCTGATTGGAGCAGCGATGAATTTTAAAAGAAAGTCGCAGCAATCAGCTGGAGCACTTGTCTGTTCCCATGCAGATGATGGCTGTGGGTGTGTGTGACCCGTGGCTGGTTCATAAGCCTCCACTTGAGTAAGGCCTATACAACCTACCCCCCACAAATGATCTGGGTTCTACTATAGTTAAAATATGTTCCTTGCTGTTAAATTAAGCCCTTTAAAAAACCTTAAATTCATTCTTGTGCTAGGTGCTGCACCACTGAAACCATTAAAAGCTTTTCAAGTGGAGCAGAGTCAGTCCCTTAGTGTCTGCTGAGGATGTTTTAGAGCTGGGAAGTAGGATACTGTTAAATGCTAAAGGCAACTTCCACCTGAGACAGGCCGATACTACTTCTGCTAGCCAGGCCGAAGGACCAGACTCCATTTTTGCCTCTGTTGATGGAGCTGCTAGGATAGGCTAAAACAAGCGTTTACTAATGTGTTTTCAGCCCATAATGTAGACCAGACCAGCTATATTTTTAATATGTATTAGGTGGCTAAATAACCTGCTAAACAACCACGTGCTTAGTCCAGACTAAGGATTTAACTCAATTATTAACACATTTAATAAAGGGCCAATTTTTATCAGACTGTATTTTGGGCATGGTCTGTGGGTCACTGCCTGGGCCTTAGCTGTAGCAGCTCTGAATTTGGTTCGCTATATGCACGGTATACAAAGCCATCATTAACTATTACCTTAATTGGGTTTACACTGAGGATCAATTTGGCCCAGTTTGGGGGATCTGCAGTAGTTGAATTTACTGTAAGTTACTGAAAACAGAGATGCTTTTTTTCTTTGTGCAAGTATTTCACACATGTCAACAGCTGCGTAGGGAAGCTATTCATTTTTGTATTGGTCCTATTCTGCCAGTCACTCAGCACAGAAAAAGACTGATGCTTTTTTCCCATTGCTGTAAAGCATACTGTGTTGCGTTAAGAATGTCATTTGTTACTGTTCAGCTTTCAAGAACTGGTGTTGTTCTAGACTGATCTGACAGGACTCTGATCTGGCAGTGAAGATTGGAGCATTGTGCATGATAGGACACAGGATCATACAAGTATACAACCACCATTGTGGAATGCTTGTACTGAGTATTAACTTGCTATGGATGGATGGAAGGAGAAGATTGCTAAGCCTCTTTGAATGGGCATGAGACAATGCTATGACATGGCCCCTGGAGAGAGTCACAGTGATTTAGGAAAGAACATTGAAAACATTGGGACTTAGGTTGAGGCATATATCTGTGAAAGTGGGTGGCTGTAGTAGTGATGGAGGGCAGAGGAAGAGGAATATGATCATTTCATTCTAAGTATAGGATCATTATCTTGGTATGAAGAATAAGCTACTTTGCTGTATCACAGTGTGGTCTGCCCTTGACATCCTTTAATCCCAGTGGTGGGATCCCAGGGAGAGACCCTTTAGGACCTTGATGTCTTGGTTCTAATACCTGACTTGCATTGCTTCTTTCCTTCCAGCCTGTGCAGCTGGAATATAACAGTGCCAGAGGACAAGATCATATTGAAAGCCAAATTGGATGTGATCATGACTATGTGTCCATCTACACGAATGACAGCTAATCAGTATGTAGGATGTGTATTGTTTTAACAGGCATAATCTCTCATCTCAATGTCTGGTATGGGGGCAATGAGCAGCATGAAATGTAACTAAAGCTGGCTTCAGGGAAGCTTTTTGTGGTTTAGACTTACAAAGCTATGAGAAGTTTGTTGTCTGAAGCTATCAAACAAAGCAAAGGAGGCTTGGAGTAAGGTGGAGGTTTATGTTTTTTCTGGCTGCTAGTATGTGGCTGTAGTCTGAAAACTGCCTCTATAAAAATGTTTTGTTACTATAGGTCTCTAAGCCCCTGTCTGCCTTGTTTCCAACATAATTTTTTCACTCTAGCTAGCTCTGTGATGCTGGATAAATTCATGTATGTGGCCTCTTTCATCAACAAAACTGCCAGCCAGTTTCTGATGCTGAAGGTCCTTGTTGAGGATGCTCAGTCACAATGGTATACTGTGGAATATGCCTTCTATAGTTCTGGGTATCTAAAATATCTTGTTTATGTATTTTTATCTGTATAGCACAATACGCATGCATGCTCCTTTACAGATAAATGGCTGCCATTTTTCTTGGGCAGTCCCTTCTTTACAACTATCCATTCTTGATACCGAATTGCTAGAGAATATATATTTATGTAAATGTTAGTCTCCTATATTGTGAATAGTAGCAATGGCTATATGCCAGTGCTATCTCACCATGAATCATTGGTCTCTTCCTTGGGGATGATTTGCATTAGAGGCTATGTTGAATGAGATTCTACTCCCTTCCTTCCTCTCTCTCCCCACCATCTCTCAATGTTTTATAGGCACCCATAGCTGCTACTGCAGTAGGTTGCTTGGATTCTGGGTTATAAAACAGAATGTTACTGTATGTACCGCAGTGAATCTAAAGAACCTGCAAGCTGCTTGATAAATAAGCCCGTGCTCTACCACACTAAACAATGAGACCAACTTTTTCCCCTTAGGTAAAACCTGTGGTGATATGTTGCTAGCCCCTCTACTGAGAGACTCAAATTGAGGAGCTGTAACTTTTGTTTCTGATGGAAGCAATGTTAGCAGTGGCTTTGAAGTCACCTTTATGACTGTACAAAAGGAATCTGAAGCAGGTGGTTTAATGTGTACCATATTGCACCATTGTACATACTGTCCCCTTATTCTGACCCCCTTAAAATAAAAAGCGGTGTGTGAGAAACTTAAATTCTATAAAGTAAATCAGTCTTCTTCCCTACCCTGGTGCTATAGGCTCTAGTTACAGGAGTGTCGCAGTGCTGGTAGAAGAGGAAAAGATTGATACTACTAATTACCCTGGCCTGTATCCCAGTAATACAAAGTGCCACTGGCTCATTGAAGATCCTATAGAGTATGTCATAAAGGTAATGAAGGAAGAAGCCACTCTTAAACCTTAGGCCTTAGAGCTGTTTGGGAAAGCAGTTCAATAAATTCTGCTAGAAATATATGCAACATAGCCCAGTAAATTGTAAGGTTCCAGGTCGTGGACTTTTTGCAGGGCATATTTTACTAATTAGATGGTGCCAACGAGCTGGTATGCTGAGTGACTGCTGCTGCTGTAGGTGCTTAAACCCAGTCAGCACTCCAATTCTCTGCGAATAAAGCTGCATCTTGAGAAATTCTGCGCTGGGTTTATAGGGATGGGAGGAAAGATGCAGGGATAGAAGAAAGGGAGGGAGGTTATCTGTGCTTATCTTTCATTTATGCCCTTCACTTCCCATGATAACAAATGTCTCTAAATGTTTTATGCTACCTGGGTTCATTTACACATGCTATTAATGCAATAAAGACTTACTGCACAATAAAATATTGTGCCGTAAGCCTTCCCTGGGAACACGTCTACACGTGGTTCCTGTTGGGAGCAGCCTGACAGAGGGCTGCTCCTACCCTACTCTGGCCCCTCTCAGCACCCAGGGGGAAACCCAGGCTCCCCTGGGGCAGTAGCCTGGGGGCTGGTGGGGAGCATGGGAGCTGGTCCCAATGCATACAGAGCTAGGAGCACTTTGCCAGATGCAGCAGCAGCTGTCTCCTGGCCCCATGCATATCAAGAGCAGTCCTGATTTGCAGAGGGCCAGGAGGTAGCTGCTCCTGCAGAGCTCTTTCAGCCTTGTGCACATGGGGATGAGGCTTCCCCACACAGCTGGAGACTGACTGGGAGCTGTCCCACTTTTGGGGCAGATCCCAGCCAGCCCCAGGCTGCTCAGGGATTTCCCCACCCAACCAGGAGCTGGCTGGGAGCTGCCCCAGAAGTGGGACAGCTCCCAGCCATCCCTGGGCTTCCCCGGGGAAGCAGAGAGCTCCCCAAGCCTAGTGCGGCCACTAGATCCCCTCTCAGCCTTCTCTTGTGGAGGCTGAACAGGTTACTTTTCCTTTATAATAATTTTCAAAATTATTTTTCCTTTTGTACTCACTTGGAAGAGTTCTGTTTTTGTCATTTGCTAGAGTGGTTGCTGCTGCTGAATGTAAGAACTGTCAGTTACTTGGTCAGAGCACAGGTCCATCTTGCCCAGTATCTTGTGTCACATAGGGGCAGAGAGTGGATGCTGAAAGGGAGAGTGAACTGGGTATGACCAGGGTTTTTTCCACTGTTCCTCTCATTTGCAGTCTCCAGCATTTAAGGTCTAGGTAGTTCTGAGGCAGTGTCTGTATCCATATGTATGTTTCAGAATGACTGTGATCCCCAGCTGTGGTTTGGGAGTCTTGTTAGTAACAAGTATAATAATATAAGGTAAAAATGGAAGCTTTATAAATCAAAGCCTATTAACATGATAACAATATGTTGTTTAGCAAGGGGATTAAAAAGAGGTCACAAATACTAACCCCTCCCCCTTGCTCCCTTTTTTAACTTCTATCTCTCTATTTTCAGTTGGAGTTTGAAGACTTTGCTGTTGAATTCAGCCCAGGCTATATCTATGATACTGTTGTCATTTATAGTGACACAGAAGAGGAACATCAGCTGGGTAACCATGAATCAGTTCAATTTGTGATTTTGAATATAATGTTAAGTAAAAATAAATAAATAAACACTTAATTCAGTGCTGTCAAGCTTCTAAGTGGTTGGAGGTCATGTGTTGCAAGGGGTGCACCAGTGCAAGGAACAGGCCCATCAGGCCATGTGTCCCACTTCTCTGCTCTACCATATGTGCAGGTGTCCTGGTCTCACTTTCAGCTCCCTGGCTGTGGGCTCCCCCAGCGCCATGGGCTCTACCACATTGCCCCCTGGGGTAGGGCAGGAAGTGGAGCCAGAGGACAGAGGGGGAGCCTGGAGATGACAGTTACTGCTATAGCCAGAGTGATGGGAGGAGTAGCAGCTAGAGGAAAGCTCGGGGGCTTCAAATTTACCATATTTACTCAAATCTAAGGTGACCCTGAATTTAAGACTACCCCCAATTATTAAACTGTAGACATGGAAAATTATAAAATTGCTTTAAGTTTCCATGTCTAGAATCTAGTTATTGGAGGGTTATCTTAACCTTAACCCTCCCACTGTTGCCACAGAGAAAGTAGTATCAGGGAAAGCAGCAGTTGGGAGCCAGGCAGCCTACCCCACACCCCTTGTACCCCACCTTGCCACTTGCCCCCCTGTGCCTGTCCCCCTGCTGCCCATCTCCCCCAATCCCATCCTCCCTCTTCTCACTGCCTCCCTCCCCTCTTACCTTTGGAGCTGCTCTTGCTCTATCTCCACTTCCTCCATGCCCTAGGCATCCT